CCCCAACCAGGAATCGAACCCGGGCCTCTGCAGTGACAGCGCCGCGTCATTAACCACTAGACCATCAGGGGCTCCCTTCAACTAACAGTTAATACTTTCTTAAGGCTCCACTGGCACTGTATGAATTAGAAAGGAGTTTATTAAAGGGTCAATGGTTATCCTTTTTCACAGTCATTGAAACCAAGCTTCTTTATTAGAGGCAAAAGCTGCACACAATGCATATACTCCTCCATCCTGAACTACAATAAATTCCAAATCAAGTTGTAGGATTTCCTGGGAAAGGTTAAATTGCTGTTTAAAGCTATTATGTAAGCATATGTTAAATGGTTTCAATGAAACAGTCACAATGTTACCATAAATTAAACGCCAACTACATTTCATTTTACCCCGTGTGGTAGATACTCCTTTGAAACACACAATGATTCATCTTCTGTGACACTAATGAGGGCTGAAGAATAACTGAGAAGTAAATTTAAACTACTAAAATTATTATTTTAATCCATCATGTTTGTACATTTATTTTAAGAAACTCTTGGTCTCTACAACTGATAACCAGGCGTTCCTACAATTACACAACTTCAATAAACTGATGAGGTATATTACCTATGTACATTCAAGAAACAATATTGAATAACAAATATTTTAATGCAAGTGAAAAGCAATAGTTAGTACTAACTAGTTAATTTTTTATTTACACAGTTTATTCCAGTTTCTAACTCAACAGAATAGTACATAATTTATAGAAGCATATTTTGCCATAATAAAGTTGGATTAGACTAACGCGTTAAACAAACTGATTATTTATCAGCAAAACTTTACAAAAAAACTCATGGTCTTACCCAGTTGGAGAGATGCAACATTTCCCACCTAACTATCACGGACTAACCACTGAACTGAGATATTCAGATTTTTAAGAAAGCGGCACAAACAAAAAATCTCCAAAAAACCAGTTCTAGATGCACTGCAAATTGTTTCACTAGCTCCATGAGTTGACTCTGGTTAGAATTGTGGCAACTAGTACTTTACTTGCCTATTTGTAATTGAATGTTCTAGCAGATTATAGCATATTTGGATCTAAACATGTGTTTACTCTGTATAAACATCTGAAGAATTTAGGTTAGCAAACCAAATCAAAGCCACTTTTAATGTTTGTCAATCCACTGTATCTAAATATTATTTCAGCCATAAATTCCATTTATGAAACAATGTTTTTGTAAACCTTAAAACAGCTTAAGCAAAGTTTTTAGACCTTAATTAAGATAACTTTAGCCTTCAAAAATAAAGCAAATACGCATTTCTAACCTGGTGCTTAGCAAGAGGTGATCACAGATCAAATGTGGCAGCAGCTCCCACTTTTTGACTGTAAAGATGACACCAGTAAGTCTCTTTCCTATACAAGGAAATAGAAAGAAGAGGGGAGAAAACCAATAAAACTCAGAAACAATAGCCCATATAAAAAGAAACGTTACATGGATGACCCTCAAAGGACAAAACATCACTGAAGAACAGTCCAAAGAATGATTCCTGGGTTTTCTTTTTCCTTTTACCATATAATCCCTTGAAGTGGTATATGCCTCATCTTGCTCAAGTATCCGTAACACTGAAAGAAAGTTCCAAGATTCTTAAAATAACATGGAAGAGTATTTTAATAATCCATGTAAGCAATTTAAAGCTAATCAATTGTTTAAAATGCTGTTAGAAACTGAAACCATGGTCCCTTTCTACTATTTTAGAAGACCTTGCCTAGCTAAGACGACCTAAGCACCAAGGTTATGAGCAGTCTGCAGGTACAGAGAGTTTTGTTTATTTCTGCAGGAGCAGTTTGTGTGACTGGAAAAGTCACAGAGGTCCTATGTTTGCCTGAATTCAGGTTGAGAAAGGCTGCTTCACATTCAATTTAGGAATTAAAATTCATGTTATCATTCTCCCAGAGAACACTGCCCACTAATTGCATCCACTCAATCATTTGTAGAGTAGTGTTTTAAAACAGATCTGTGAAATGATCTGTGGCCATGATTTGACAGACATTTTTTTCAATGTCAATGTTAACATAAGGAGCAGTGGGGAAGCTGCTGCTGCTTACCAACTTGATGCTGCTTTCTCAGTACTGCCAGGACAGCCATTTGTGCCGCCTTGCAGTAAGCTGATAGGCTAACAAAAACGTTGGTTTTAACCCTGCTCACTTCTCTGAGAGGATTCACACTGCATCCCAGAAACAGTTGTCTTGGCGTAACAGAAAAAGAGGTCTTGGAAGAGCTGATTGCTTCTAACACTAATCCAGACTCCAGAAGACATTTATGTCAAATCGTTCTTTAAGCTGAAAATGCCCAAAGAATGTCTGGGTTTGAGGGTTGGTTTTGAGGCTTTTGTTTGGGTGCGGTTTTTTGTTTTGCTTTGTTTATTAGTGATTGAGGTAATTTAACAGAGACCCTTCTGAACCTTATCTCAAAGTAGTACAAGAGCAAAGAAAGATGAGTTCACCTTCCTGGAAAGTTAGAGGAGAAAGAACAAATCAGAGTTTCTCAGTGCTGACAGGTTGGGGTGGAATTCCACTGACAATTCAAAAGAAAAGTTACTGCACTTCTGACAGCTTTGCAGAAGGAAATGATCCAGAAGAGATCACATGAGCCAGGACCACAACAGCCAGCAGCACAGGCCACAACAGAACTGGATCTAGTTCTTTAACTGGGCTTCAGTTATAACCCAATGCACTTTTAACAAGCTGACCACCCAGGCGACTTGATTCCCTTCCCTACTTACTACAAGGCTATTAAAGAAACAGATCTCTGTGAGTTTGGTCTGTTCTCCAGGGAGGCACACAGCATGGTCACCTATAGCTGAGAATTCTTCATCTCTCTCTGCTACAAAGTGCAAAAAGTTTTGATTATGCAACTTACCTATTGCATTTTCCCTACATTTGCACACACACAGACACACGTATAAATAAAATACAGAAAATTAAACAAACAGTTCACAGTAAATCTCACCTCCTTTCCTTCCAAAGTCAGCAGAGGTATTTTGATAATCTTTCCTCTGTCTGCAAGAAAGAGTTAAGCCTCTGTTTAAAGCAAAGCTTTAAGGAAGTGAACACAGGTATCAAATAGTTCCATATCAGGAAAATGCAAAAGGACAGTTATAATCATAATAAACTTGCAGCTTAGTGCAAGCAGGATTTGGATAACATCCACTCATCACTGAGATCATTATGATAACTAGTGGCTTTAAAAACCAAGTGCAGTGGCTTCTCTGCTTATGAATGTCTATGATTGAAACACCTTCACTAAAAAATCTTGGTCAACGGCTAGTATTAAAAAACATCCATGCTTCCATTGTTGTATTTTTCTTTTAACTCTCCTGGCCTCAAAAGGGAAAAGTCTGTGGATGTTAATAATGCAGTGAAGTATACACAGAGCATCTCAAAACTAATCTGAAAACAGAAATTTAAAACCCCATGTCTAATATTTGCTCAGAATACCACTGCTAGGTGACTGTAATAATTGGAAAGAGCTGCCCATTTGGAGGACTCTGATTCATCGTTCAGTTGTTCACTGGTACTTTCAAGTTACTTAAATGCTGAATTTTAATAATGAAAACATTTTTCCTTAGGTAACACAGGGATGAAGTTATATAAAAGGATTATGCACAAATGTACATACACATGTAGGTATAAACCAATAGCTACTGCGTTTATACTTGGCATGTTTCAGCATGTATTTTGAAATCAACTTGAAACATGATCTTAAATTACTGTATCTCTTTGCATGAGACACATGAGTTTCACACTACAGTGCACTATTTTTATCTAACATCAACACTCCATGATGCGATCCTTCAATGAAAGACAGTTCTTCTGGGTTGGCAACTTTTGAGTTAGTAAGAAAACAAATATCAAAATCAGCTTCAACATACACAGAAAAGAAAACACTGGCTACTAAACTGCCCCATTAGTGGAGAGAGTATCAGGCTCGACTCAGGTGACAGCAATTTACTTTGCAATTTTGTACACTGAGTTGATGCAAATAATTTCATCTTCGAAAATTCAGTTTCTCCACCTGAGACTAAATAATAAGCTTTGTACAAGCACTCCCAGGTCTCCTGTTGAGACATAGCAGATGATAAACAATTTTATTAACAGCAACTATAAAAGCAGTTTAAGGTTTTTGCTGCAACTGTAACCATTTCAGCTTCACTAGGGATGATAAATAGCTACAAGGGCAAATCAGTTGAGAAATTACATCTTGCAGAAAAACATCATTTCACCAAGAAAAGAACAGGTAAAGTCATCAAACCAGAACATATGAAAAGGCAGAGAGGGGGTGGGGCTAGTCTATCTTCCTATACATTTTGTATGAGAAGAGAAAAAACAATATTGATGTTACCACCAGTTGTCAGTCATCTGTTAATTAAAGCTAAAGATTAAACATGTCATGAAAGAGTGAAGTCTCAGTAGTGCAAGTCCAGAATTACACAACTATTTTGCTTCTCTAACATGTTCAGTTCTATTTCAGGATCGCACAGACCTGAATCTCTGTAGACACAAGCTGGACTAGAAGGTCTGCAGGTTTGCTTCTTGGACTCCGCTTTCTGACTTCCAGAAGTACAACAAACCTAATTCTACTATGTTCATTGCTAAGTTGGAGTTACTGAAGTAACATAGACTGAAACAAACTACTCTAGAGCTACTAAAGAATATTTACACCTAACTTACAGGTAAGTAAAGATTCATTAACAAGTTGCATTACCACAGAAACCCAAAAAATTAATTCTATTTTTATGCTATATATAGAGTTCTATATGCTATATATATAGACTTCTCTGAATCGGCAAGTAAACACACAACTATTGTGGAACTATTTACAAACACTAGTTGTGTGTGTGAACACATAACTATTGTGGAACTATCCACAACTATTGTGGAACTATCATACCAGTTCTCTATTATTCAAGGTATCCTCAATACCTGTCCTTTCCTAAATCATTCTCTTCCATCATCCTAGATGTTACAAGACAGTTGTAGATACTATTAGTATATACCCCATAATGCTTGTCAGGAGTGAATCACTTCCAAGAAAGCTTACAAACTAATTTATATGTTGGTTTATTTAATGGTAATTTTAAAGCATTCCCTAGTTTATACACAGATATCAAATGAATATCACTGACATGACATGTTTTAACAGGTGATTTTCCATTAAGCTACAGGCTAAACCCAGTTGCTCAAAGTCACGCTAAGTGATTCAGAAGCAATTCAATGCAAGCCAATTTCTGAATTTCTTCACAAACGCAGATATTTTTCCCTGTTTCAATAAGGTCACAAACAGTGAAGACCCTGCTCAACCGAGTCTTCTTCCAAGTGTACTCTACACTTGAGGCAGACAGTACACCTCGGACTCATAAGTTGAAAGCTTTAAGATGAATACAAACCTGACAGACTTCTCAGCCTGCCTAGTACCATTTCAGTTATATACAGCTTTCAAACACATTTACATAAAACTTCTCTTTAAAAAGTAAATCTCAAGCCCTGTGGTTTTCTGTTTTTCCACAGCATATCTAAAACAAGTGCAACTGTAAGAGATGACACCAGCACACACTCAGATTTGCCAGCTGTTTACAAGTATCCAACTAGATTACATAAAGTTGTTCCAAACCTGATACTTAAGTCGGTTGCGTACTAGAAACAGCGCTGTTAAATTTTGTTTATCGCTCCTTTCTTACTTAATTCTACTTCTTTCTTCTTCGCGTATCCCAGCCTGCGCTTTGCCCTAACCTCCCCTCCCTCTCCGGCTCCAGCTGTAACACTGCCGGAGATCGCGGCACCGCTTCGCCCCGGGAGCAGCAGCGCTGCCGCCCGCGGGGTGCCTCTGACGGGGCCCGGAACGCACAGCAACCCCGCTCTCGGCGCTGCCGAACCACGACGGGCCGGGGCGGAGCTGGCCCGGCCGCGGGGCCCGCGCGGCGCCGAGGCCCGGCCGAGTCCAGCGGCCCCTCCTGCCGCCTTCCCCCGCCCGTTCGCAACCATCCCGGGGCCGCCGCTTTCCCGAAGCGCTCGGACCTCCCCGGGGCACAGCCCGCACCAACACCGGCGGGCCCCGCCGACACCCCCTGGCCAGTGCCGCCCGCCAGACCCGCCCCGTCCCGCTCCTCCCGCACCGCCCGCGTCCCTGCCCGGCGCCCGAGCAGCCCCCCCGGGCCGCGGGCCCCCCGAACATTGCAGAGCGGGGGCGGCCGCCCCGGCGGGCCGGGCCCTCACCTGGGCCGGAGCCGCCCGGGCCGCGGTGAATCAGCCGGATCTCATTCAAACCGAGCCCTTCCCGGTTCACAGGGCACCCGGCGCGGCTTCCGGCCCGCGGCCCGCGGGGAGGAGCTTCCGAGAGCGGAGGGCTCGGAGAGGCGCGGGCGGAGCAGCCACACTCGAAACTGCCCTGCGGAGAGTACCGGGGCGTACCTTTGTCCACAGCTCAGGGCCACGGTGCAGCCGAATGCCACCAGTGCTCGAACAGCAAGACAATAGGGGGGCAGAAGAACCTACGAATGTGTCATCGAATCACTAAAAGGATGGTTACTATAATGGGAACGGTGCATGCACTCTCTCAAAAACAGTGTTACAGAAAATAGGAGGATTTAGAGAATAGCAATGAGAGTGGCCATATGCATAAAACTAGCAGAAGCAGAAATGGGAGAGTTTTTGCCAAACTAAGACAATTGGGAGACAGTCCGACAAAAGCATGCTGATGAATTATGCAGATTTCTCTGGTGCAAACAGAGAAGCAAAATGGAATTTCTGTTATCCTCGTGTTAAGAGAGGAACAAAAACTCTTTTGTAAATTCAAAGAGGAACATACCAGGCCAAGGAAATACTTTTCCAGACAGTATGCGAGCAAGTTGTGAATCTCAATGCCTCTTATGAACTTATGGCTAAAACAATAAAAATTTTTAAAAGTTGATTTCTAGTTACTGAAATATTGCAAATATTTTAGAAAGTGTTGGGAACACTTAAGAACCTAAAGCAATTTATTAGGACTCTATATTATAGAGTTTCTGCCTGAATGACCATGAAGAGCCCTGTGGTTTGTTTGAAAGCTCCTTTAAGAACTGAGAGTGTAATATTAGATGATGATCAGCATTTTCTGCTCACAGACCAACTACATGGAAGCAGGTGAAAAGACACTATGTTATAAATTATACATAAATAACATCAGATACAGATACTGTCACCACTTCCATGACACTTCAGCAGATGTGGAAGTTTTATGTTTTTATACCATGAAGTATAAAATTAATCAAAATAAAGGGAATTACCATGATACATGCTATTCTGTTTTTTAAGAGGGGCAACTTTTTTGAAAAGCAATATTCTTACAATGATCTCTTCCATCCCTTTTTAGCTGTACTAGGCCGAGGGAATCACAAGAGTTAAAGTTTCCAAAAGATTCTTAAAAAGCTAAAGGGTTAAAATATAGTTTACATTGTGGGTCAGTCTTTTTTTTTTTTTCATGTTACTAACGCAGAACCTATTAGTGGAATTTATTGCTGCACCCGCAGCCAAATTACTCAGAAACAAAGAGTAAAAAAAAAAATCTATGTGTGTCTATGTGTATGTTTATCTATGTATGTTTGGCTCAAACAGAAAAAAACTCGCACCCTGCTTCTAACAGGCTGTTACGTTCCTTCCTGTTTTAACCTGGCAACACTTAGCCCCTATCTTGAGACTGTGTTTTGAGACTTGTACATGTCTTAATGTTCTCAAAAGTCACAATAATAATTATGTCATCAAAGATTTTTGTTTTAGATTAAATTATTGAGGTAAAGAATTAATTTAGTGAACTGAAATGCTTTATATATTTTGCTGGTTTGTACCATGATTTTTAGAGCAATCCTATTATTCCTCCATGTTCACTGGAATTCTGACTCCTTAATGAGAAATACTCATTATATTTCAATTCTCACTCTGCAGTCATGGGTCTTTAAGGAACTCTGCACTTCTGAAAAAAGAAACACAAACATTTATAAGAAGTGAGCATTCCTCTGGGTTAATATGCATAAGAAAGAAAAACAACATAGTTACATCTTTGTGTTATGCCTATACCCACTGACTTAAATGAGCAATGTTATTTCAACCCGTTTGAAAATTTGGCCCTTCTCCTTTGAAACACAAAGTGAAACAGACTTTCATTGTTATTCCTAATTACATTTCAAGTCATAGTATTGACTTTTTTAATATATACATTTATTGAAATTTTATAAATAAGTATAGTTACAGAAGAAGGAAAAAAGGAGAAAATAGGAGAAATATTTACATTAGAAAGTATAGTGAATTAATTGGATATATAGAGGCAGTATCATGGTTGGTACTTATGACAGATGGTATTTTATATTTTTATATAAAAAAGATATATTCTTAATTGTATATGTCAAAGGAAAGAGACCATATGTTGTTAAACACTTCCAAATTGTCATTTAATCTGAAGGGCACTCGCTCGCTCGAATGCTACTGAATCCCTTATTGTTTTGGTCTAACCAGCGTTAATCTATAGAGGATTTTATTTATTGTTTTGCAGTAATGCAGTGCTGAATGAAAATGTTAAAGGTTTGTTGCCATTTTCATTACTTGGATGGCTGTCATAAGTGATAAAAACCTTCCTTTGGCTGGACACTTACGTTCTTCCTGTTTCCCCATGCTAACCTGTAGTTGCTTGTAGTGAAGTGATCAGCATGGATCAGTTGATAAGACATCACACCATTTTTTCCTAATTCCTGGTGTATAATTTCCCCTTCAAATCTCTTTGTGATTGGATTAAAGCAGCAATATTGCTGAGGCTCTGTAATTAAATAATTTAATTTTACAGAACTGAGTGAAAAAATTTAGGAGTTGAGTGTAGAATGAGAAGAATGCACTGAGAGATTAGCCACAATTTTCTTGCAAATCATATATATAGATAAATATAGTCCTCGTTTGTGCTAGGACAGGATGAAGTCTCCAGGACCAAGATATAATATTACAAAAAAAAAAAAAAGAAAAAGGGAAAAAAAAAAAAAAAAAAAAAAAAAAAAAAAAAAAAAAAAAAAAAAAAAAAAAAAAAAAAAAAAAAAAAAGAAAAAGGGAAAAAAAAAAAAGCCCAAACCCCCAACAAACCAAACAGAAGATACAGTTTTAGAAAACCTGGTGTTAGAATAGAGGATGCACTGTGGATTGGACCAAATATTAGAGTTGTAGATAGTTTTATTTCTATGTTTAAACATGTAGAACAGAGTATAGGGAATTAATATACAGAGGGGAATACAAGATCTGATGTCATGCTTGTGAGGGAATAATAGAGTCAGAAGCACACTATTAATTTTTTTTTTTTTTTTTTTTTTTTTTTTTTTTTTTTTTTTTTTTTTTTTTTTTGCTTAGAACTATGTTTGGCTTAGAACTATTGCTGAAAAAATAGTGGAGGAATAGTAGCTTCTTGAACTGCAGCCTTTTACCGCAGAAATGGACTGGAGCTCTGTCTTGGCAAACCTGTATATGGGGAAATGGTTTCTTCTGTTATACCTGACAAGCACTCACACAGTTAGAAGTGCTGATGGCGACCTCTGTGACATCCCCAACAGCTTGTACAATGCTTGATCAACTCCTTACTGCATACAGAGTAGTAACAGGTCTTGTCACAAACAATGAATAAAACTAACAGGATTAGTTAAAGATAGTATATAAGAGTGAGATTACTTTTTTTAGTCTTCTCAACAGTTCTACAAATCAACTGCAGAAGGCTGTTAGAGGCTTGAAAGAGGCTTCATTAATCATGAAACATATGATTATTGAAAACCTGCAAACAAAACTATTTGCATCTCTTCCAGAGCACAGACCTGCCCATTAAAGTATGACAAGTAGAAACTCATCTTAATTTGAGTGAGAAGAATGGTAACAATATATTTGGATATAATCCATCCCAGTTTAGAAGAGAGAGGATATTAAGAAAGCAAACATTCCCTACAATGAGCCATAAACACGGCCCCACCCCACCTCCAGTTGGTGCCAAAAGATCTTCTTTATATTGGAAGTTTAAGTATTCACCAGCCAATACAAGTTTCACATACAGTCCTAAAGGAAACTGGACTTTTGTTTTTTATTTCTATTTAAAGTGATGTCTGAGTTGTGAGAACTATCTACAAACCATCTGGAGAAGATAAGGCCAAGAAAAAAAGTCAGTCTCGCTGGAAATGCTTGTGTTGGGGGTGTCTATGGAAAATTTTTATGAGGAAACAGAAGTGGGTTTGTGTCCCTGGCAATTGCAAAGGTGCTACTCTGTGAGAGACGGTTTATTTAAATAACTGTGTAGAAGACTGTAAATTGAAGACTGTAAATTAAGGGAAAGGTGGTATGTAAAGTGGACGTACTGTGGGTTTTTTCTGGATTACTGCAGGATGGACCACCTAATTACTACACCTAATTTCTTTTTTTCTTTATTCATCGGGAGATTTTCCCCTTATTTGTGACACAATAAAAATAATTTTAGACTTCCTTTGGTACTAAGATATTTCCGATGTTGGACTGAAACGTTGCTTTTAAAGGCGCTGTGTAACCGGTAGAATGCTTTTCACCAATTTCGAGTAGTAAGGGCAAAGAAATAAAAACAACTTCCTTCTATGGCTTTGAATATGTTAGGGTACTAGTACAGACTAGTAGGAACAAGTGTGTGGGGCTAAATAGGAAACCATTCTATATTTATTTCAGCATTTTTTACTTTGGATAGCTATAATTGAGTCTCATGGAGTGAATGCCCATTTGCAACTGAATTGTATTAAGTATGTTTCTGGTCTGCCATTTTTCATATGAGAGAATCCACTTCCAGCACTAACAAATGGCAAATCAAAACACTGAAGTGGTTTCTCTAAGGCATACTCTGGATCCTAATTTAAACGATCATGTAGATGCATGATATCTATCATCATTTTTTTTTTTTGTGACAGGAATTAACCAACAGTACATAAAGACAACATGGCAGAAAGCTGGAGAAGAGTGAAATAAAACTGAGGAAGGTGAAGTCGTCCATACTGCTACACATGGCTTGCCCAAAGCACTGGGTATATACAATATGTTCTATGGAGGGCCTGAGGGACCTGTAAACTGCTATATAAAAACCCATTCAGTGAATATTTTGATCCTCACAAGAGTGTCACTTGGGAAAGACACATTTTTTACAAGAAACCAGCTGCCAGATGAGACCATTGACCATTGTTAAAATCTTTAAAATAAAGCCAAGTAATGTGAATTGGAGCAGTTAACAGATGGATGAATTACTTGTGATATAAGTGATAACCAAGTCAAAGCAAGGTGAGAAAAGGACTTGACATTGCAAAGAACAGCG